ATGTCTATCTCATCATGTTGAATATTTCTACCGAAGAACTTCCGAGTGCAAAGAGTTAACAAAATACCAGTAATCATTTTCATCATGAAAGTCGAGGGGTTCGTGGCAGAAGGAACTAATATAGACGAATATAATTAACAGCATCCTTGTGCCAAATCGAAGCGGCCATGAATCGCTGATCGATTTGAGAGTAAATATTTTGTGCCAAATTCCGTGGTCTTGACCTGGAGAATGCTCGTAAAGAAAAATTTAAATAAATCTTACGCGTTATGACTACTGGAATATGTATTAGGGGGTGTACTCTGACTTTTGGTTCCAAAATTCTGGGAGAACGGTTACGAGAGGAAGAGATCTCCGCGTTTTCTATGCAAATTGATTCTAATTCGTCCAACGCGAGCGGTCTACTTTACTCGAATCATGTTGTATTCATCGCGGCGCAGATTATAGGTGAAAATATTCTTCCCGAGAGTTATGAAATCGATTTGCTGTTCGTTTTTCGCTACGAACTCCGCGAATCCTGCGTCTTTCATCCGCCGCGGCGAACGAGAGCCAGCGCATAATACATCAAACTTCGGAATTGAAATTCCGACAGCGCACCGCGCAATTTGTACCGCAAAGCAGAAAATATTTTCCAGTTCTTCTTCTACATTTTCATCCTTGGAACACTGATATTAATCCTGGACTCGTACTCGGGACCAACGGAGGAGCAGAGTCCCAAGCGCGACGAGGATCGTACGGGCTGCTCGTTTCATCAGGTGCATCTGCCCAGGCACGCGATCGACTACGCTTTGTACAGACGCGGCAAGGTGCCGGATTTTCTTTCGTGGAGAACCTTGACTCGGGGACAGACAGGTAGTAATGGTTGTGGAATGGCCGAAGCGTTTTGTACGGGCACATGCTGGAAGCTTGAATGGTTGGAACTCCGTCGGGTAGCGAGGTTGCAGAGTTTCAAAATTTCAAAGCTTCGAAGTTTCAAAACTTCAAAGTTTCAAAATTTCAATATTTCAAAGCTTCTAAGCTTCAAAGCTCCAAAGATCCAAAGTTTCAAATTTTCAAATTTTAATGTCTTCAACTTCTTAAACTCTTGGACGTTTAAACTTACAAGTTTTCAAATATTTAAACTCTCCCCAACTGCACACTTTCATATTTTCAAATTCTTAAGCTCTCCAACCTGCACACTTTCAAATTTTCAAATTCTTAAGCTCTTCAACCTGCAGACTTTCAAATTTTCAAATTCTTAAGCTCTCCAACCTGCAGTCTTTTATATTTTCAAATTTTTAAGCTCTCCAACCTGCACACTTTCATATTTTCAAATTCTCAAACTCTCCAACCTGCACACTTCCAAATTTTCAAAGTTCCAAGACTAACAAAAATTCGAAGCATTCAAGAATTGGAAACCACTGCATCGAATTCGAACTGATTCAAATCATAACGTCTTCGAGAGTACCGAATTACTTCGAAACTAAGATTAAAGCATTCATCACTACTAACAGGATCGAGGATTCGCTTCCTGCTCGGCTCTAGCTCCGATGACCGTGATCATCAGTCGGAAACGATGACCCAGCGATCGTCCTTCTTCCGCTGAACATCTTGAACCGAGAAAATGAGGGATTGTTGGAACGTTGAAAATGCGACGTTCGTTCGGGGCGACTTCTTTCGCAATGGGGGGATCATGCAAATGCATGCAAATCGCGATTCAAGATGAATGGAGAGAGACAATGAATGGGATACGATTCGTGATTACGTGAACAATGGAAGAGCCTGATTAAGGGTAGCAAACGTCTTCCCGAAGTACCCTTCGAAAAATCGAGGAATTCCGATCAACTGATATTCTTCGACTAGAAAATTGGATCCCGTCTTCGTGATTCTGATGGAACTTTGAACACGTATTTTATATTAAAATATTATAAACAAATGAAACCATTAATCCTGCTTCATTCGTTCTATACATAACTTGTTACCTTAAATTAATCAATCTTACATATGACAGCGAATAAATTGTAAAATCGAATTCATCGAATCTCTACAAATTTTATATTATTTTAGAATTCATCGAATCTCTACAAATTTTGTATTATTTTAGAATTCATCGAATCTACAAATTTTATATTATTTCCGAATTCATCGAATCCTACAAATTTTATAATATTTCCGAATTCATCGAACCTCTACAAATTTTATAATATTATTTTCGAATTCCTCTTTCGCCGGGATACTGCATTTGACTAACAATTATTCCGTTGAACGTGACCGCGTACAAGTATTCATTAATCAAATTCACTTTAGAGGAGACGGCCAGCCACTGCGCCGGCGAAATCGTTTCCCAAAGATAAATTCGACGGTAATAAATGAATATTCAAATTGCATTTTATTCTCCGGCCCTTTGACGCGAATTTTCAATAAAACAAACTCCCGGTATTCCGACGAGAGTGTGTAACACGGTTAGAAGTTGCAGAAAGGGCATCGTGAACAATCTAGCAATAATGTTCCGCGAGTTATATTCCCCACGGTTTTGATGCAATACCATCGAACCGCTGAAACGTCGGTTTCCCTTGATTGCCCTATAACCAAGAACGAAGGAATACACAGAGGAAGGCTCGGAGAATTTTAATCCTCGCAGCTTATTCGGCGACGAGCGAAAAGTTCAGTCAATTTGTTGATTGACCCGTGCGTCGAAAATATTTCCCAATTCCATTTCCGATACAGCGGCTGTAAATTGATCTGAAATGAAACGATTTTAAATACGAAACGATGGCGATCGAGAATCTCTGATCCGACGGGTTACATCTTCATTTCCCTCGGATATTGATTCAGCTTCGAAATGATACCAGCGGAAATTCGCAAGATAATGAATCGATGATCGTAATCGCGTGAAATCGAGGCACCATTCGATAAATGTGGAACAACGGTTTGCGACGTTACTGATGTTGCATTTCTGGATGCTGAATTTAATGGACGAACGATATTCGATGACTCGATGGCAGAATGCCATGTGGAGTACTCGTGTAACGATGGAACTGAGGAAACGTTAAAACAAAATTATCTTCTTTAATTGTACTTTAAGATACTATCAATTACTGTAGTAAAACAAATAAAATTATTTTTTCTCTTTAATTGTATTTTAAGATACTATCAATTACTATAGTAAAACAAAATTATCTTTCCTCTTTAATTGTACTTTAAGATACTATCAATTACTATACTAAAATAAATAAAATTATTTTTTCTATTTAATTGTACTTTAAGATACTACCAATTACTATAGTAAGTAAAGCAAATAAAATTATTTTTCCTCTTTAATTGTTCTTTAAGATACTATCAATTACTATAGTAAAACAAAATTATCTTTTCTCTTTAATTGTACTTTAAGAAACTATCAATTACTATAATAATCATAATATCTATTATACAATTTTTGTAATCAGATGAATTAATCTCAGTAATAATCTATCTAATAATAATAACAGTAATAATCAGGAAGATTACGATCTAAACGAAAAGAATTCTTTGTTCGAGCATGAAAATTCATTTCCATGGTACACCGGTCGCACGAAATCTTGGAATCTGCGAGAAGCTATGGGGGTTAAAAGGGCAATCCCAGCAATAAATCTTGGCTTCTCATTTTTCATTCGACGCAAAAATAATTTCAATCTCGCGGGATTTCCACGGAAGCCCGCTTCGACAGTCAACGAGTTAAATAAGCGTCAGCCGTATTGAGTGCTCAGCTGCGTTGTGTACCGGTAGCGCGGCACTCCGAGGGATAAAGAGCAGATTAAATCCACCGAATGATTCGCCCTACCGACCAGACGCTTCAATCTTTCATGGCGTTAAGATCTCGTTTAATTTCTCCCGGCCTTTGCTTAGCGAGCACGTTAAGCTACGGGGATTTCATTCTACGATGCGCAATTTATTATGCCGCCGCCGGGAGAAAATATTATGGACGGTTATGACAGAAATTGGTAAAATGAATTATTAGGAAGATACAAAACGGGGTTAACCGTTGTGTCAGTGGAGTTTGTAATATTCTCGTGAGAATTTGACAGAACCAATCTGTCTATCCGTTCTCCGGTGTTACGTTCGTTTATGCTTCGAAAATGTACGAACCTAGGCAAAGATGTTGTAATACTAATGTTGAAAGAGACGCAGACACTTTGGTGGTTAATTTAAGGGTAACCGTGGTTACGAAAATGATTACAAGAGAATTGATGTAAAGATGATTAGTAACTAGGCTAGATAAGAGAAAATACGTGTCAAACATTTTCTTGAGAACTATGTCTCACATAAGTTTCGTCGAAATCAGCGTGAGCTGGTTGAATACCCATGATACCAAATTATTCAGAATTACTTTTGGGAATTTTGGGGATTCTGTGGGATGGTTGTTCTTGTGGAGATGTAAGCTGAGTTGTTGTTTGTTCTTGAATCAAGAATAAGGGTATTAGGCTTCTGCACTCGGAAGTCTTTCTATGTCTCGATGGTGAGACATGGAGGAGATTATTTGTATGAAACTGAGAAATGAAGCTGATTTATACAAACATTTCGCATATCGATGTGTTATATAGAAGTTAATGTTATATATAACACTTTGTAATTTTGTTATATTGAATCTAATGGTGACCGAGAGTCACCCGTCGAGTGCAAAGGGTTAACACTAGAACTTCCGAGCAAGCACATTGAAGTTTCCCAGTTTTCCTATTGGGACTGGAGGACAACTGAGATTTCAATTGACTCGTGATTCAATTTAACACTGAAATCTCAATAGATGCATTCTTCGAGTTTCCACGGAACAATTAAAAATTCTAATTCCATTGCAGTTCGCCTCGTTTCACTCTCAACTCGGCGAGTTCCCGGCGCTAGATTTCGAACGGCGTCGTTCCATCGGGTTGCGCGCGACATTATTGGTCGAGTCGGGTCGGTTCGGGGGTTGGATGCGTGGCGGATGAGCGCCCGCGGTGCGAAGGTGAGAAGCAGTGCGCTCCGGAGGCGTCACTTGTCCACCGTTTGCCAAGCGGGTCGGGGTTGAGTCCGGCGTTCGGTTTCGGTAGTGCTTCGACGGCCGACCCCTTTCAACGACCCCGCAACTTTCGATTCCTTCGCGACCCCGCAAACATGGCGAGTTTATCCGGCGCGCCGAGCCGCGCGACGACGTTCCGTCGCCCCCGAAACTGCACGCGATCCTCCGAATGATTCGTTCTCGCCGGACCCGGAGGAAGATCCTCGGGAACGATGACTCGGCAACTGAGGGAATACTCCTGCGTGACTTAGAGCGCTGGCCCGACGAGAAGAGACCGGCTACGGCTCGCGGCGCCGATCGACGTCCGTGAAGGATGAATGCGTCCGATGAACTTTCTTCCGAGATCACCACTGAATATGAATTACTGAACGAGACTGAGTACCTGGAGGAGATTCTGGGCATCAAGTACCTACCCCTGGAACTGGTGGTGCCCATCACCCTCGTGTACATCGCGATCCTGGCCGCTGGCATCGTTGGCAATCTAGCTACCTGCATCGTCATCTACAGGCAGCCCTACATGCAGACACCGACGAACTGTTACCTGTTCAACTTGGCGCTGTCCGATCTGTTGCTTTTACTCTGGGGTAAGTCCGACGTGCACGTGGCTCGTTACCCGCGCGATTGTCGCGGCTAATTGATGGTTTGATGACCTTTCGATGGAGGATTAATCCTTGAGAGGGTTAAAGTGTTGACACTCAGGTGACTAAAAAGAAATATAACTACAACCTCCTTTATTATCTTCAATTGAACTCATTTAATTGATTAGAAACTGTGTTTAAAAACATGAACCGTATTTGATGAATTGCGAATAATCCTAGACTTACTGAATAACAACAGGAAAGGTAAACAGAATGAAAGAGACCTCCCATTCGGTTGGCTAAGTGTTAAGCTAAACAAGTCGTTCTCCTGTTCGATTTATTCTCTCCGTCGCAAACGAATGTTCCAAATATCGAACGTTCCACAAAGTCTTGAGTCAACATAGAAATCTTCGCGCTTCTCTAAGAACAGGAAACTTCCTACTCAACATAGAAATTCCAATCACTCCGAAAGCAGTCACAGTACAAACATCCCGAAATCCAAACATTCCTTCCAAACCGATCTTCACAGACGTCACGCATAAAAGAAGAATCGAAGAAAAAGGAAGGAAAAAGGAAAAATTTCAAACCCTCTAAAAGCAGTCACAGTACAAAGCTCTAACTCTAACCTCTTCAATTTTTCTTTTTTTATGTTGAGTAGGAAGTTTTGTGTTTTTAGAGAAGCGCGAAGATCATTTTTACGTTAAAAGAAAAATCAAAGAAAAATTGAAGAGGCTGAGGTTAGAGCTTTGTACTGTGACTGCTTTTGGAGGGTTTGGAATTTTTATGTTGTTGAAGTTTTGTGTTTTTAGAGAAGCGCGAAGATCATTTTTATGTTGTTGAAGTTTTGTGATTTTAGAGAAGCGTGAAGATCATTTTTATGTTGACTTAAGACTTTGTGGAACGTGCGATGATGTTTGCAATACTCGTTCGCGACGGAGAGAATAGATTGAGAACGACTTGTTTAGCTTAATTCGTTGTTAATAACTGAGGAGAACCACAGGAGAATTTTATGTCACAATTAATAACAGGAGAATAATATTTCATTCGAACTCAGAAATAAATGTCAATGAATTTTGTTAACTCCCATTTAAATTCTCTCGTGCACCAATGAAATAACAGCTTCCCAGCTAAAATCCTTCATTCTATGATTTCTTTCACAATATTAATCGCCGGTTACCTCTATAATAATAATTTACTACAAACAAAAGATTCCATGCTCGCATCAGCCTTTACCTCGAAGCGTAACAATCGACGGCAGAGGAATAATATTTCATTTGAACTCGGAAGGCCCGCGAGCGACATTTATTTTCATTAACCTCTGTTTGAGATTCTCCTCACGAGTCCGCCGCGGCGTTGTATGGCAAAGGGTTAACGGCGAAATGCCACGGTATCGCCGAGGGAGGAACAAAGGGCTCCCAGCGCGGGAATTAACTCGTTCCGTGCTAATTATGAAGTAAAAGGGAAAGTTGTCGGATCGGTTGCACCCACCGGCGGAATGTCCCATAAATCCCGCGATAAATTCGCGATGATGCGCAGCGATAAACGTTGCGGCGCGCCGCGGGTTAATTGATTTGAATAAATAATGCACGGTGGCTGGACACGTTTGCAACGGTGAACGCGATACGTTCGTCTAGACTGTCGGTGCTTTCGGTGCGGTGTCTCGATCAAACTTCCGTCGTGCTGAATAAATCACGTGCATTCTTTAATACTTTCAATTACTTCGATTTATTAGCTACTGATAGAAGTTCATGTGGCTTTTTCTTATTTTTTTTACTTTCGCCACTAAGCTCGTGTACCATTTTACTATCGACAATTTGGAAGAAATGCAACAAAATTGTCCATTTTACTTCAAGTGGAAATTTTATTTGAAGATAATACAATGATAATAGCAAAATAGTTGTTTGCTTTGATCCGTGGGTAATAAATAACATCGATTGATGTTAAATTAGTCTAGAAATCCTCATCGCGAGTCTCACTCGTCATTGTACAGCAGTTAACCCTTTGCACTCGAGAATATTTTTGTCAATACATATTCATTATTTTCTGATGAAATGTCAATGATATTTTTTGCAATTAACATAAAGAAATACCTTAAATAAGTTAAGTGACAGAACTATTTTACCTCGATGTTCCATGTACTGATACATTATAGAAAATTTAATATTGAATTTTCAATTTTACAATTTTCTTGGGTCAATATCAAAGTCAAACACCTTTGTCCCTTAATTTATCCAATAAATTACATTAGTCGCAACCTCGTCTATATTTTATCAGAGTGTTGAATATATCCAGCAAAAAAACTCGAGTGCAAAGGGTTAAATCGCCAGCGATTCAGCGATTGATCACCGTGGAACACAGCATTTCACGCAACACCATCAGATAAAAACAATATTGCCGAGAATTTTCTTGTCGATTACCTGCGCAAACTATCGAAAAGCGATTCGGGGTGTCGCCGGTAGAAACTAACCGAAAGAATATTCGATAGAGACGCGGCGATCCCTCTCGCGAGGTACAACCGTGCACGCCGCTCCCTGTTTCCGGTTCCGCGAGTAATATATCATTCCGCGGTGAAAATACGCGGCGTTGTTTTATTCGAAATTCTTCCGGGATCGTGATATACGCGGTCCGCGGGATTTATTCGGTAAGTTTAGAGTCGTGCCATCCCGGAAACGGGATGGACGGCGTAGATATTAAAGCCGCCGGAAGTCGGAGTTTCGGGTGACGATTGAACTTCTTCCCCTTTTCGCTCGGAGATTCTTGCGGCGGATATTAAACTCGATATTCCTCGAACTTCGACGTTCCCGCGACCATCGCGCGCGATACTGTCGAGTTTCAATTGAATTTTCGGCAAAGCATTCCGCTGGGAGAACTGGTTTATTCGATACTGGATTTAGGAGTTCGCTATACACCTCGCTCTATTATCCTCAGAAGCATCGGTGTCGATTGAAATCTTAAAGATTAGGAACTTGAAAACAGACATTGCAATAGAACATAGATAAACAGATAAATATTCGTAGAAGGTTTAGAAAATTCGGTGCGCAACAAATTGATGTCAGCGTTGAAAAACCTGGAAACTTTATAGTACTCCCGCGTTATTCTTCGCCGATGAAACTGTCGCGGAAGTTCCTCGAGCACAGAAATCAAGCCTCCACCTAGTACATCCTCCTTCGAACGTTCCCAGCAGTGCACCGTGAAACCGAGGAGGCTGAGAATTGATGCGCGGAAATGGAACCGACAGAAAACGCGAGCGCGCCGCTTTTCGATTCCCGCGCCCGGACAATAAATAGAAACAGGGAATTTCTGCTTACATTGATAATGGGCTGAATTATGCGCGGCCCGCACGTTTCAGGCGGCGCCGATAAGAGGAATCCAAATTTATTCATTTATTCATTCGTTGATTACAGATGCGATCGGAACGTTCGCCCGCTCGCTCCCGTAATTCCCGGTTTATCGCCGCTGCTTTTCGCGCTGATTAACCCCTTGCCCCGCGATTTATTTCGCAACCGTGAACGCTGTCGCGTAATAATCTATTGAAAAACAAGGAGACGTTCTAGGAATATTCTACTGAAAATAGGAGAATCGTTTCTAATGCTAAATATAGAGCGACGAGTCAAACGATCGGTTTTGAAATTTGATTTTCCATTGACGACGATGACATTTCATCGGCTTCTCGTGCACCCAGGAGTACAAAATATCGTTGATTGTGTCGGAATAAAGAATAATTCGATTGTTGACCGGCTGTTCGTGCCAAATATACCACTGCACCTTTCGCGGAGCAATTTTCACGCGAAATGTCGCGAGGTCGAAGTTGCTCGGAGTGTTTTGTCCCTTGCTGTTCGCCGAACGGAAACCGAGTGATTCAACGTGGAATATGTATCGAAGGATTCCGCTGCAAAGAAGCGAAATTTGACAGTCCGACACAAGATTGTTATTAAAAATTTCTGTCATTATGCCGCGTCGCGTTACAGCGCAATGAACATTTCTTTCAACCCCTTGCTCTACAACAAGTGAGACTCGTGGTGAAGATTTTCAACAGGATTCAACAAATATATATATTACTCATTCGAATTCAAAGTAAATATTATTCCTAATCAACTATTATACTTATAGGAAATATAGGCGTAACATATGCTTAGAATTTTTCTCTTTTTCCAATAAATTATTAACGACAAAGTAGTCGTATCGATCAGAGTTCAGAAAGAAATCATAGGCCAAGGGGTTAATTGCACGGTGAACGCCGGAATGTAATGATTATAGCGTGCGAATCGCGCAATAGCCCGCGCTGCAGTAAAAAAGGTTTCAACGTGCGAAATCTTTCTCGGTTTCTTCGGTGGATTTTAGGGGAAATTAGGAGATGCTGGAGGAACATAAAACGATGGAGTTTACGGCACGTGCTTACGAGGCTACCCCGTATCCCGTCTGACCGCTGCGCGTTCGTTCTACTTAAAATGGAACGTTGATTTCTTAATCGTTGACGTTTGTTTCGTTAATCTCGTTTCCGAATTGCGATTGTAAACCAAATTACGGGGAAGAGGAAATGAAACTGTAGTATTCGATGGAGGTTGCGAGATAAATTAATGCAAGGGGTAATTAAATGAAAGTATATACATCAGGATAAGAAGGAAAAAGTGATTTTAAACAGATTTTAAAGTTTCCTTTGATAGGTTATCCATAGAAAATATTGTACACCGATTCTCTTCAGTAAATTTGAATGATCAGTGTTTGTTCTGTTTTCTCTATTCAGTGGTGCGTAAAAATTGTGAAAAAATTTGGAGATATTTTTGACATAGCAGTGCATAGCTGAGAATATTTTGAGATTTTTCTGACTGGAAACCTTAGCGCGAGGAATGAGAAACCTATTAAAAAGTAGAATCGAAAGGGAACTTTATGTTATTTCAATAATTCGCGTGAACTCATTGCTGACCTGTAACCAATAGAAAGTCGTATGAACTGAAGATAAAATATACACCATTGAATAACCCGTCGAGCAGAGTTCCATCAGGAACAAACGCGTAGCAGTCGTAAAACGCCCGACTTCGTAAGGAGCGCGAAATTGCAGTAGCTCCTTCCGCCTCCCTATTTGGATCATTGAATCATTTATTTGAGGCACGTTCTGCTTCCCGTCGCCGAGTTACAGGAATTACGATTATCTGTAAATAATGTCGATCGACGAATGGAGGACGAAATAAATTCCAGGGAAGCGATGCTCGATTCAACGTAACGATTCGGAGCTTTCGACTGGAATCGGCCAATCGCAGAGAAACAGCGGTTGTGAGCACGTTTGCCAGTTGTTTCAGTGGCAGTTATGATTAATAGGAACAATTACTGTAATTATCAATATAATCTATGAATCCGAGTCTTCTAAATATCTGAAAAGTTGGAAAAATGGAGCTAAAACTATTGCATCCTAAACAATGCCATGTCTCATGACTTGAAACAATACCCAATTTCATTTCTTTATGCAAAGTACAAGATTGCAACCGTTATAACTATGTAACAATGGCATTAGAAGTATCAAGTCATTCCATAAATAATGTTATTTCTTTAGATTAACTTCTGCATTTTGATCGGTTATTTCTCTATGATAAATTCATCGTGTACCATGAAAATGGTATACATAATTTTTATTCGATCAAAATGCAGAATGAAGAACAATTCCAGAATCGATATAGAACCGATATAATACCTGTTCCGAACAACAGCTGCGGTATTTCAGTTTTCTGGAACTATTTCAAGAACCGAAACCGATATCACAACAGTTTCCAGGCTCCGATTAAAGCGGACCGTCCATTTCCAGCGATCTACGACTCCCTCGCGGAACAATCAGTCCAGCTGTTACCCGCCTCATAACCCGCTGACATATTATTTACTTTCTCTGCTAAGCTCGTGTCACATTTTATCAGCAATTTGTAAGAAAAGCAGCGAAATTGTCCGCTTCACTTTAAGCAGAGATTTCGTTTGAAGACGATACGTAGATAGTATCCGAAACCGAGCGACTGGACCGTGAGAAAAGCGTGTACGTGACTGCGTAAATTTTGACCATGGACGAAGGATGCGAGTGAGAAGGGTGCAAGGGTAAGAAAGAGCGAATGGGGGTGTGTGTTAAAAGCGAGTGGAAATGGCCGGGCCAGTTGAGCGTGACTTTTTCGAGCGAGACATTCAGACATTTCTGGAGAGAGTCAGCGAGTTATATTAAAGTAAAGTATTTATTCACATTTTTGTTATTATTTTTTTTATTCCCCACTATGGCAACACGTGGGATTTTAACAAATTAATCCTAAAATAAATAGTTTGCTTTGATCCAGTGAGCAACATTGATTTCTGTTAACCCTCTATAAGCCCAATTTTTTTCCATGATTGTAACAAAACCTATGCAAAATTAATAAATATCCATATATAAATACGAATTAACAATGTATTCAATAGTTTCAATAATTCCATCAAATATATTTTCTAACTTTCAACTTAGGACGTTAAACTTTCACGCCTGAGCGTATAAAGTTTAACTTAACCGATTACTCAATTCTATTCACCGCTTTGAGCGCACAACGAAACTAAATCAACAAGATGCCAACATACCGATACGTGACTTCAAAGTTGCAGAGGCTTACAGAGGGTTAAATTAATCTGGTAACCTTCATGACGAGACTCGCCCGTCATTGTACGGGGTTAATGTTCCGACGCGAACGAGAATTGCCGGCGTCATCCCCATCGGAGCGTCCGTCATCTCTTGCGCGATGCTTATCGGCGCGTCGATTTCAATTTTCCACGGGCAGGCGTTGAAAATCTGTGCACGCGCGTCCGTTCGTTTCGCCTCCGCAAGGAACACGCTCGATATTCAAATGTATGCCCGCGCCACGGGAAATATATCTCCCGAACAATAGATTACACTCGCGGTTCTACGGCAACGCGTATTTCCACGGAACACCGATAGACACGAGTGTCTGTACCCCAAGAAAAATGGGAAAATAACTAGTGAATAGCTGGATAATGTATTCACGGGAACACGGCCGGCGAAACACGGAGCGCTCCGTGTAATATTGATATTTTTTCAATAAAATGGCCGCGTGCGCGCGGGAAGGAGAAACAAAGATGGCGAACGCTCGGGAACACGTTCCGCTCGGCGGACTCCTTGCGTTATTGCTTCTTTAGTTTGTAGTATCTAGGATTTTTAGGTTAAGTTGTTTTTAACAATAGAACTACCAAGTGTTTGATACGATTGGTATGCAATCACTATAAAAATTGTAACAATAGATTATTTTCAGTTTCTTCAGACATTTGTTACAGTATTCAAATGAAACTGTTGATTTTCAAAATCATTTCGATTATTCAATGCTTCGAAGATATCAATAATTGCTAAACAAAAGAATCGAAATCAGTCATTTTGACTGGTACGTAGTTGTAGTGTTAACACTAGGTTCACGGGTATTTACTGTACACTTCATTCTATTATTCCTAAAAGAATTGATGCTCGTTTACTTAGATTGTGGAAACTTCAGATTTGATAGTATTTACAAAATAATATTTCTAAAATCCAATATGCCTCAATTTGAGGCGTTCCGTAAACCTAGTGTTAAGAGTGAATGTAACGTAATTCTTTCCATATTTTATTAAATACACATATTTATTCCTAGTTCTCGATTACTCAAGATCCACCCTTTCATTATCTATATTAACACTATAATTTCGAAATTATTTCTCCCTCAGTTGAAAACCGTCTCCACATTAGAACGAAACGTTTGCGGTCGTTCGTAACGTCGTCGCGTCGTTTTCCAATAACTTCCGCGGTCGTTGTGTTTTTCTTTTGTTGCCGCGGAAAATTGACGATCGAAGGGAGTTGGAAAGTGTAACACCGTTAGAAACGACAGAGAAACGGATGGGAATTAAGAGTTTCGCTAAAACGCTCGGGAATTCCGCGGTTTTATCGTCGGACAGACTTTCGATGTCCGTGTCGGACGAAATGAATCCGACGCGCGGGATCCGCGGGGCTTAATTGTTGAATTAATTGCGGTATTTCGGCGAAGATAACGGTTGACGTGTTTCGATAGTGAACGGGGTCGGGCGGGGATTAACCGGCGCGTCAACAATTCGGGCGCGGCGCAATTAGGCCAAGAAATGCTTGGGCATGCTTTGAATTCCTGGATTAATCATTATAGCTGTAATGTATTCTGTGCTCTGTGGCGACTAGATTAATCGTGTGTCGTTTATAATCGCATTTTGTGTTCTGTGATCTTTGGATTAATAATCTTTCGTTGGTGATTCGAGTATTATCTGTTTTATAATTAGGTGATCCTTCGTTTGATCTGTTTGATTACAGTTTGATTATTCTATGCTTCGTGATCCCTAATCTTTCGTTTGATCTTTCGATCGTAATTCAAGTATTTTCTGTTTTATAATTATGTGATCCTTCGTTTGATCTGTTTGATTATAGTTTGATTATTCTACGTTCCGTGATCCCTAATCTTTCGTTTGATCTGTCGATTATAGTTTGATTATTCTACGTTTCATGATCCCTAATCTTTCGTTTGATCTGTCGATTATAGTTTGATTATTCTACGTTCCGTGATCCCTAATCTTTCGTTTGATCTTTCGATAGTAATTCAATTATTTCCTACTGTGTGATGCTTAGATAATTGATCTTTTATTTCACCTATCGTTCATAATCCAATTATTTCCTATTTTGCAATCTCTAGATATCCTTCATTTGATCTTTCGATAACTCAATTACTTTCTGTTTCATAATCCCTAGATTACTATCTTTCCATCGCCTTTAAAGGATTCTTTAAAATTCTCACCTGTCTATCATTCCTTCTTTACATATTCTAATGCACACCCACTATCAAGCCACCATCGATCAACGAAGCGTCAAATTAGCCACCAGAAGCCACGGAGTTCAAACAAAACTTCTTCAATATCTAGCAAAGACAAACCTAGGATCCTCCTTCCAAGCATAAAAAGAATCACGCGATGTTCCACAGGACCGGTGAAAGATTTCCGACTCTCTTCCAGGTATCCCCTTCGAGCTGAGTCAATTCTGGGAGCAGTACCCGTGGATCTGGGGACTGGCTATCTGCAAACTGCGAGCGTACATATCGGAATCGTGAGTCGATAAAACTTGGAAACGTACTTTGCTGTTCACGAGAAGAGCCCTAAAAATACTCTAATCAACATTCATCTTTCCTCGTCTCATTTTCGACATTACTATTCATCAATAAAATTATACAGAATCAATTAAAATTCCAAGTAAAATACAACGAGAGATTCCTCTTTATTCTTACACCATCCTGAGACCAATAACTCACTTCTCCATATTATTCACGAGGAAATCCCTAGAAATATTCATCTAACCAACATTCATTTTTCCTCGTCTCATTTTCGACACTACTTTATTCATCAATACAATTATACAGAACCAATTAAAATTACGAACAAAATAAGTCATTAGCAACGTGTTAACCCTTTGAACTCTGTAGGCTCCAATATTGCACCAATTATAATACTGAATATTTCAATGAATCAAAGAAACTGCCCTAAAGTTATTCAATTTCCCATCTAAATTTTCTACATAGGAAAACAAAAGATCGAAATGTTATATTTTCCCATTTTCACTAGAGAAACTATAAAAATTAGTTGCTGATAGATTACAAAACTGCGAACAGATTCCTCTCGCCTCTGCCATTCTAAGGCTCTTCTCGTGCTACGAGTAAAAAACGTTATTCTACAACAAGTTTCCGAATTTCTGTCGAAGGTCCTCATACGTCTCGGTGCTGACGATAGTGGCGTTCTCGTTGGAAAGGTATCTGGCGATCTGTCATCCGCTCCGTCGTTACGCGAGCGGAATAAAGGGTCCCGTGCGTGTTATCCTGGCCGCATGGCTGGTGGCTTTGGTTTTTGCGGTGCCGTTCGCTCTCTACACCACCGTCAGTTACGTCAAATATCCGCCCGGTGAGTTTCTGCGTGCGACTAACTGTAAGTATCCGCGTGTGCACGCCCCCTCGTAACCGTGGTTTACGCGGCAGACGTGTATTAATCACGTCGTCGGGCCGGCTTAACGCCCGACGGCTCCGCGGGATAATCGTAGAAAGTCTCGCGTTCTCGTCTAATCTAGACGAGCACTCGCTGATCGCTGGGTTTACGGGGCACGTCGATTTCACGCACATCGAGTACCGTAAACATTGTTTGCTGAATTTTGACGTCGACTTTGACGCGATGAAAGTACAATTCGATTGTTGATTCTTCTGTAACTTACAAATCTTACATTCATAAGCTTTTTAGAAGTGTCCAGTAGGATGTTCCCAACGTTCCCAAAGTGTTCCCACTTCAATTATTGAAGATGGATTTATTAGGGGTAAAGATATATTGATACTGTGTGTGCCTAGAATGTATTTATATAGCTGGTTCATATTCCTGGTCAGTGATTACCAGTAGTTTTTAGTTGGTCTGAACAATTATGTAATAACAAGCCACTTTTGAATGTAATATTCCATGCATTAAAGCTACTATTCCGAAATCTTAATTTTCCTAGTAACCGTAGAATAAACCATACTATATATATATATATATATACTATATATATATATATGTATATATATAATTGTAATTAATTGTAAACCTATTGTTGAATCGCTAGTAAAGTTAACGCTGGACGCTACGAAGATTCGATTGTTAGAGCTGAATCGAACATAGACTCCATCAAATTGTAAAACTACCAAATACTAGACCTACCGAATAATAATAATATTAGAGCTGTGAGACTGGAGACCATATTTTATTAATACTCATAGAATTCCAATTATTTTAATTAATTTCTCTAAATATCTCCTTTGATATAGGATTGTTCAATGCTCGTGAGTAATGAGATTGTTCTCAAATCTTTACTGACTGAAACCTTCTAATTAGAGTGTCAATTATTTTTGTCGATCGTTCCCCTTTGTTAACAACACTGTTAAACACTCGAATATTCTTCCTCTCGCGTCGTTCCTTTCTTTCCGAGATTACAATCCCATTGTCACCGGTGAATACTAAGCATGCTCCAGCGGAGATGCTTGAGAAGTTACACGTCCCATTACAAGTTTCCCGGGCGCGGAAATTTAAACAACTGTCCGGTGGCCGAACCGGATCTCCCGCGACACGCGTAACGAGTAAAGTTTCCATTCGCTTTGCGGGCCGCGTTACACTGATTAATACAGTTCCGCGGCAATTTCACGTGGACGTCGATGCTGATTGATCTAAACAATGCGAAATTCGCGTTTATCGGGCTCCGTTCGTGAACCGAGGCTGTCGCGGACAATCAGCGGAACAGCTTCGCCAGTCGGGAATGCCGTTCGAATGTTCCCATTGAAATCACTTTTCCATTTTCGATTCATTAACGCGTCGCGCCGTGATAATCGATCACAAATTATCATTATTCTTGCGAAACAGCGAAATTGATTTTTAGAACGGAGAAAGTGGGACTGTGCTCGTCGAACGTGACCAGAGCTGCGTATCGAGTAACACGTTCTAATTTCGTACTGTTACATTGTTCGTTTTGAAAATGAAAGTCAAAAGATCGATAGATGAACAATATCGAGAGAGACGTATACGTTTCGGGGATCCAGAGTGGAATTCTCGAAGCTTTCCGTAGGAAATGGTTTCGTCGATCTTTCCTTGAAGTGACTCGTCTCTTTTTTATTGAATATGTATAACGTTGTTCGAAGAATTGAAGTCATTAGCAATGTTTAAGAAGTTTGTATGTTTGTGATGATCAGGAATTGAATAAGTTTTTGTATCGTTTAACGTTGTATTCGTAGTATGATCCGTTTTATTCGTGGAGGTCTCTACGAAATCTGATGGATCATTTGCGAATTAGTCGTATATATAACGTTATATAATATTGTTCTAAGATTTGAAGTCATTAGCGATGTTTAACAAGTTAGTATGTAATTTTGAGATGGTCAATAATAAGTTTCCGCAAGTTATTATTGAAATTTACCACTGTATTCATAGTATAATCCGTTTTATTCGTGGAGGTCTCTACGAAATCTGATAGTTTATTTTCAAACTAATCGCGTATTACGAAAAGATGATAATAAAGACGATGTAAGTGGTAGACGCACAGTGAATCGCACATAATCGTTAGTTAGAGGGCACAATGAAAAATCCGTAAGTCACCTGAATGTGCTCGAAATTCTAATCGAGTTTACGAGTACATCCGTTCCACCGAGCGATTCACTGCTCCCGAAATGGCTTTCGGTTCATGTAAATTTCCCCGAATCCGCTCCAATGACGTATCTAACGAGAGGAATATTTTTCTTATTGGCTCGTTTGATAGCCGGTACCTTTACCGGGGTTCCCTGCTGCAGGGTCGAATGTGGACTCGCTGGACTCCGCGATGTGCACGATGCAGAAGGAGAACATACCGGAATTTCCGCTGTACGAGCTGAGCTGTCTCGTATTCTTCCTGCTGCCTATGGCATTCATAGCGGTGCTGTACACGCGAATGGGCTTAAGAATACAAAGCACCAGCCTGGAAGGCGCCGTTCACGGGGAAACCACGCAGGCTCACTCCAGAAGGACCATAATTCGAATGCTCGGTAAATAAGAAACGGGGCAAGTTGATGTGTTTCTTTGGTTTTATAGTTTCTTAACGTTCATTCGATTGCTTCGATGATTCTGCGAACTTTTGTTAGATAGCTTCGATGATGTGAATTTTTGTTAGATTGCTTTGATGATTCTGTGAATGTTTCTTCGATTGCTTAGATGATTCTATGAACTTTTATTAGATTGCTTGGACGATTCTATGAATTTTTCTTCTATTGCTTGGATGATTCTGTCAACTTTTGTTAGATTGCTTGGATAATTCTGTGAATTTTTCTTCGATTGCTTCGATGATCCTGTGAATTTTTATTCAATTCCTAAAATAACTTTCTTAATTTTCATTCCATTGCTCGACAAATTTTCCAACTTTCATTCGATCGCTTAACCAATCATCTCAACCTTCATTCGACTTCCTAAATAATATCCTCAACGATTATTCCATTCAACTAACGATCTTACCCTTCAATTACATAGCTAATTTCCCCAACTTTACTCATTCGATCATACATACTCCTCTCAACTTTCATTCAGTCACCTAACTTTCTCAACTTCTATCCTACTATTTGACTTCCTCAAAATCCACCCCATTACTTACCTAATTTCCCAACCTTCATCCAACTGCTTGACCAAAAGTATCCCTGAATATCTTTCGATTCGCGACAGCTTGGAAAGCCACGAAGTATTCAAATTCGACCGTCACGCGGCACGTAAACCGAGAGAAGTTTTACGAAAATTTCTCCGTGTGTTTCCCTCGTAAAAAAAAACCGCGCAAACTTTTCTGCTCGTCTAATATTATTTTACACGGCCAGTAAACAGTGCGTTTCACATGAATTTTTCTTGCCCACTTTCATATTTCCGCTTTTCGCGTGCACGCGACGCAACGGAGGGACCGCGACGCGATTGTTCCTCTGTTTACGCGTCTCTGTCCGCGGGCATCGCTGCATGACCACTGAATGCACGCGCGAGTAAAAGCCCGGTTGTCTGAATTGAACCTAAACCGTAACATCTGCGAGCCCTTTAACAAGCACGTACTCGTGTTCCCCGCCGTTTCTGCCGGGAAGCGCAGTTTTTGTAAGTTAATCAAGTATTTTGTGTTCGTGTCGCCGGGCATCGCGTCAACAGCGGATATTTTATTGCCAGACCTGCAAATAGAAACTTTCATGCGCCGAATTCGAGTGGATATTGATGTCAATATTAACTAAAACTGACTGACGGCTCAAAATCACCCTGATTTCTTCCTTTTTCGATTGGTAAAAGGGTAACGGATGAGACAGAAGCTAATTTAGCAATTTGATTTCTCCTTCGCGCATTTATTACAAAGATGACGAATGTTTTTCTGAGATACTATCAAAAAAACTGATTTTTTATTGCCAGGTCTGCAAATAGAACCTTCCATGCGACGAATTCGAGTGGATATTGATGTCAATATTAACTAAAACTGACTGACGGCTCAAAATCACCCTGATTTCTTCCTTTTGCGATTGTTCAAAGGATGACGGGTGAGAGAGAAACTAATTTAGCAATTTGATTTCTTCCTTTTGTAATTATTATAAAGATTACGAATGCTTCTCTGAGATATTATTAAAGAAACTGATTTACCAATGCGCAAACTGAATTGTTAATCGATTAAACTCTCAATAGATATACTCTCGTAGTTTCTATAGAGGAATTTCGGAAAGCCGATTTAACTCGGTGGTTTTAGCGTTAATCCCTTATCCAATGATTACTTTTACCGCTGTGCCTGACGAAACTGCTTCGTCATTGATTATTTAGCAGAAAAAGAGACGAATTTGATGGTTATTCTATGTCTAATTTTACTCTAAACGTTGGAGATTCATAATACTTGATTTCTATGGAAAATAAATAACTATGTTTGCTGAATTCGATTGAAAATATTAGTCGTCACTCGATATCAGTTAAGTATATGTTCTATTTAAATGTTGATACGGTAGTAGAATAAATGAGAAGATATTAACAAATTGTTTATTGCACATTATGGAAACGAATAATTTCACGCGCGCAGCCGTGCGTGTACGGTGCAGGAAATTTCGAATTCAGCTTCAGGTCATTGAAAAATTGGTTCACGAGATTCTGAATTTGCATAAGAACCCACGGTCTATTTACCAGGAACCCCGTACCACCGGCGGGAACGGCAATTTCTCTCGACGGTGCCGCGATCACCGTCACGTTCACGTGTCTGGTAACGTGAGCTCGTTGTCGAACGCCTGGAGACATTTTACGGACACCGTGTCTGCCCGGTAAACCTTAATCCTTCCTGATCTTCCCGAAACTTCGTAGAAGTTCGGCTCGGTGATGTTCCGGTCTTTATTCAATTCGAGTTTTTACCAGGATCCTATAAATTTCGTTTTATTGCGGTCCCATTCGTCCTTTCGAGCCAAGCAACCGCCGCGAGTGCAATTTTATCGGTCTTTTGCGGGATTGCAGCTATCTAAGCTGTTCGATGTTAGATTCGGTTCAAAGATAACACTGAAAATATGGCTAACTAACTGTTATTAGCCCTTTGCACTCGAGAGGTGATTCTCACCACTCACTACAAAGTTTGATATTTAATATTATACTTCATATAATGCATCGATCTGAGAAATATTGACGTAAAATAGCTTTGTCTGTCGATTCACGTGAATTTCTCGTCGACTTAGTGTCACAAAATATCGTCTTCATCTCATCAGAAAATACTGAAATATTTCTAGTGAAAAACTTTGGAGTGCAAAGGGTTAGTATAGTTATGAGTAGAATGTGAATTTTCATGTAAATTCGGAATTTAGGAATAGAATTGTGATGGAAAATGCTGTAGAAGATATACTTTAGATATTTCGTATATTTCTCGGTGCATTCTGTGCAACGTTGCGCTTCCGAAAGATGCATGGAAATTGCTACCTACTTCTGGGATTGCAATTTTATCGTTCTTTTGGAGTCTTAGAAATAGAATTGCGATAGAAAATGTTGTAGAAGGTATTATATCTTAGATACTTCGTATATTTCTTGGTGTAGGTGCATTTTGCACAACGTTGCACTTCCGAAAGATGCATGGAAATTGCTACCTACTACTGGGATTGCAATTTTTTCATTCTTTTGTGGAATTGCGGCTGTCTAAACTGTTAAATGTTAGATTCAGTTGAAAGATAATACTGAAAATATGGCTTAGATGTTTCGTATATTTCTTCGTGTCGCGTGCATTGTGCAACGTTGCGCTTCCGAAAGATGCATGGAAATTGGTACCTACTCCTGGGATTGCTATTTTATCGTTCTTTTCTGGAATTGCCGCTACCTAAGCTGTTCAATATTAAATTCAGTTCAAAGATAACACTAAAAATATGACTAACTGACTCTTATCAGAATAGTTACCACTAGACTGTGGATTTTCATAGAGATTCAGATTTCTAAGAATACAATTCGAAGAATAGAATCACGATAGAAAATGTAAAAACTATTACATTCCAGATATTTCGTATATTTCTTCGTGTCGCGTGCATTCTGCAGAACCTCGCGCTGCCGAATTCCCTGTGAATGCATAGAAATCCTGGGTCTAATTGCCGCAGTTTTTCATTTATTTCTCAATTACAACGTTGAAGAAAGATACGCGTGCAACGCGAACGCTTCATACGTCGCATTCACCTCGATGAAAGAGTAACGTTGGAATAAAACGCGGAATTGAACAAAAGACATTGAAAAGTGTCCAGGGGAAAAGTGTACGCGACAACCCGCGTCGACGTTGAAAATAAACGAACACACGGAAGCCTGTTAGTGTCGGTCGAAATGTCGCGAAACAAAAAGAGGTGCGGATACCGAGATTCGAAAAAGTCGCACGGACAGTTGCAGCGGTAGGTATCAACGGGCGACAATTGCGTTGAATTACAATCGGAATTAAACTCGAAGTCGTAGCAGCGAATCAATGGACCGTGAAGAAAAAAACGAAGCACTGTTTCCGTTTCGCGGAAAAACGGGGATTGCTCGGTCGCCTGACGCACCGGTTCTTAACCTTTTGCACTCGAGAGGCGACTCCGAGTGCAAGGTGATAGATGTTGAACGTTAGATCCAGGTTTTCTAGATTCTATGCTAGTTTACGATTTGACAGTTATTTGCTCCAAGATTTCTAGATTTGCTAGTTCTTCCTATTTCAATATAGAATTCAAAACATCTCGAGTGCATAAATTTCCATTCTTTCGCGATCCTTTATCCATTCACACCGTACGAGCATCAAGTTCCTACACCATATAAATCACATGACAAACTCAGCTAGCGAGCGCTGTTCAAATGTAGATAAAAGCCTTCACTGCTTGATTTCATATGATCTTTTAACAAATTTCAACCTGTCGACTACTCTAACCGACCTTAAGTTGTACCTACTGCAGGATATTGTTACATCAAATCTCAACATTGAACCGCAAAGCGTTAACACTTTGACTGCACGTCACCCGAATTCGAGCGACATCATTTCTTACAGAAACTTGGATATTTATTGATGACGTACCGAACAACCCGAATTTTGTTGGATACATGAGATACAAGAAAGATAGTGGAACAATTATTAAGAATTTTAATTTCTCAGTTTCTGGTTAATGAAGAAACTGTTTCGAGTACACGGTAGTTTTCATCGGCGTTCACGTGGCAGACAAACTGTTAATGTCACTGCAAAAGTGCGGTGCATTTGCACCCTCTCGAATCAGTACGATTCCGCTGTCACGCATACAGAACCGAGCGTTCACTCAGAAAATCCCTAATAAAAGTTTGTAGGAACTGTTTACGTACGCAAGCCACGATTCCATGTAATTTCCGGTGAGAACCGTTGCTGTCGTTCCGCAGGTGCCGTGGTGATCACGTTCTTCATTTGCTGGGCGCCGTTCCACGCGCAGCGGCTCATGTACGTGTACCTGCACGAATCGAAGTCGTTCGCCGACATCAACACCTGGCTGTACCTACTCAGCGGTTGCCTTTACTACTTCAGCACGACCGTAAACCCGATTTTGTACAACCTGATGAGCGCGAGATACAGGGACGCTTTCAAGGAGACGCTCTGCTGCTGCCCGAGCAGGTCCTCCATCACCAGGCTGGATCTGAGCAGCGTCAGGGACACCAGCGGCGCTCGCGGATTCGCGTCCAGGACGGGATCTCAGGTGTTCTGCAGGAGGAACACCAGTAACCAGCGTAGCATCAAGTACGTTCATGTGAGAACGATTATATTAAAGAACTCGTTATATTAAATGTCATTGATAATATCAAGATAATATCAAGATAATATCAAGTTCCACAGTGACCATACGCGAGCCGTAACTGCCCGGTAAAAGTGCCGTGCCGCTTAAATGGCGGCACCGCTCCGTTAACACTGCAGCTGCCAGACGGGTCAAAATGACCCATTCCCGATGTCTTCATTTTGCAATTATTAAAAAGACAACGGACGTTACTCTGAGAAATTATTAAAGAAATTGATTTAGCACTACGCAAATTGAATTGTAAATCAATTGAAGTCTCAATGGATGCACTGTTGAATTACGGAGGAATTTCAAGAAGTCAATTCAACTGCTCGGTAGCTTTAGTGTTAAATATTAACCCTTTGCACTCGAGAGGTGACTCTCAGTCACAAGATTCAATGCAACAAAAATTTAAAGTTGAATATTTAATCTCTCAAATTAAAGTTTGCATTGCTACGTGAAATATTGAAATAAAACACCTCTGTTGCTTAACACGTTGCTTAACCAATAAGCTGAATTTTCCGTTCAGACCGAAAATGAATTCTCATTGAGAAACGAAGAACTTTTTCAAAATTTAGTGTAGAGTCAAAGATAGATTTTAATGTCATGTACACTGCGTTTACTTAATTTTAATTGATTGTAAAAGTGAGGGTCGTATACGCCCTGAACGGAAAGTCTTAAAAAAATGGTCCGGCACGGAACGTAATTCATCTACGGATCACCGTTAAATTAGTTTCAAACAACATCACCTACATCTCGTCGGAAAATGTCGAATATTTCCATTGAAAAACTTTCGAGTGCAGAGGGTTAATTTCGCCTTCACGCGACGGTGCGCGCGATGTCCTGAACGCGGCCACTCGCCGTCAGCGACACGCGTTTCCCTTCATCTCTGCGCGCAGTTTATCATCCCCGGTGTAAATTAGATCGGGAAAGAGGGAAATTACGGATTCGTTTTCTCGCCGAGTGTTCGCGCGATAGCGAGGCATTCAATAATGTCTGCAGCGGAGTTATTAGACCGATGGAGGCAGCGTGCCACGAAACGGATGTGTTGAACATTTGCCTGCAGATGCGTCCGAAGGCACGATGACAGATGGATGATTCAATTGGTCAAGTGAACATTTTGAATTAGTTTCTAACGGAATGAAAATCAAATGTTTGTTCGGGCATTGCTTCGCGAGATGAAGAGATAATGTCAGCCTTTCGAGATCGTGTAGTTGAAAATAAACAATGGTGATAATGGAATTAAGTGAAAAAAATGACTGGAGCAACAGTTTCTAGATTACGTTTCCGAGGAAGTTAATATCGAATGTTTGTTCGAGTAAACTTGTTGCACGAGATGCATCTTCGCTTCTTCTGCGAGTAAGCTACAATGTCAGCCTTTCGAGATCGTGTTAGTTGAAAATGAACAATGGAGATTGTGGAATTACGTGGAAAGAGTCACTGGAGCAACAGTTTCTAGATTATGTTCCCGAGGAAGTTAATATCGAATGTTTGTTCGAGTAAACTTGTTGCACGAGATGCATCTTCGCGTCTGCTCATCAATTATCCTATCTTCTTGCAGCAATGCTGAGCTTTTGGAGTCGTGTTGCTTGAAAAAGTACATTGTGGAACTAAGAAAGCTATTGTTGATCGTGCAGTTTAGAATAGCTTTCGAACGAATCGAAATGAAATGGTTCTCGGTCAGTGTTTAAAAATGATGATTCTTGTCTTCTATTATAACAATACTTTAATGTGTATTTAACATACTGTATCTAGTATTTTGCGTTAACACTAGAACTACCAAGCAGTGAAGTTGACTTTTCAAAATTTTTCTACAGCGAAACTTAGTTTGTACTAAAACAATTTCTTCGGAAATTGAATCGTTTGAAAAAGAAATGTTTGATAGATATCTATGTAGTAAGCTGCAATGTTAACCTGGGATCGTGATAGTCAAAACCGAAAGGGGACAGTGCAGCTAAACGAAAGGACATTACCATTGCTCGTAAAGTAAGACATTGTAAACGTAATTCCACTTCCAGCGAGGGTAACTTTTCGGATAATCCAGTGCTTAAAGTAGTCTCTCCCCGCGACACAGCAATCCTCTTACTGGACCTAATACGGTCAAGTTCTGATGGGATCTGGTAATCCATTTCGCTATGAAATTCCCGGGAGAAAAATTTCTCATAGTCGGGAAACCCGAGCAGACCTCGCGGTACCCTAGCCGGACAGCTCAATTACAAGATGGCGGGCGATTTATTTAACTCGTCCACCCTTGATGGTAGTTTTGCCCCGATTCTTCGTGCTAAAATACCGCGGATTAAAGAGATTATTAAGAATCACAGTTAGAATTAGATCCAACATGGTGTTCAAAAGTTCCCAGCCAGATCGTTTCTGGAACTTCTTTTACGCGATGAAGATTTTAAGAAGTTTTTGCTATTATGACGTATAAAGAACATGATGAGGATACTGCAGAAAATCAACATCATCTATTCTTTATAGAAATAAATAGTTCAGCATGTTCGAAGCCTCTCGAAATCACAGAACTCTAAGATGCAATCAGAAATCATCTAAATTCGCAGGGCTCTCACGTTTCACGTCTCTTTCCGAACACAGATACAACGCGTCGATCCGAGCGGAGAAGGTTTAATAGGATGCCGTTCGAATAACAGAGGCGAAAGTGCCACGAAGATCGGCGAGAACGAAGAATCCCTTGATCGGCCGTGAAAGCACCGATAAAACCTGCCCGGCCCTTCGTCGCTGGCACATAATTCGCCCTGAGAGGGGACAAACGAGACGCGCAGCTCATTTCGTTGCTGGAGGATCAGCGGAACCAAAGGACCACGTTGCGAGTCATTAACACTAGAACTACCGTCCCAGTCAAAATGATTTCGTTCTCTTTGTTTCGTGATTATTGATATTTTAAAAGCGTTGGATGCTCGAAATAATCCTGAAAATAGTTTCACTTGAATACTATAATGAATCTCCGAAGAAACTGAAAATAATTGTCACAATTTTTATAGGAACTACGTAATAATCGTAGCCCTTTGCACTCGGAAGGTGACTCTCACCACTTGATTTCCTACAGAAGCTATAAAGTTTGATATTTAATATTATACTTCATACAATGCATCAATCTGAGAAATATTAACACTAGATTCACGGACGTTTATTCTCCACTTTATTCTATTGTTCTCAGAAAACTAAGCGTTCGTCTCCATAATTCGAGAAAATTGTAGCTTCAGAGCTAGAGCATTGTAACGCGTATTCGCGTAATTGCGCGACTCAAAATCGACTCAAACTATCACTAAATATTCTTTGAAAAGTTCAATATCCATCGAATTAGGTTCCGTAAATCTAGTGTCAACGTAAAATATTTTTATCCGTCAATTCACGTGAACTCCTCTCCGACTTACTTTCACAAGATATCGTCTTCGTCTCATCAGAAAATACTAAAATATTTCTAGCAAAAAACTTCGGAGTGCAAAGGGTTAAGCCCGGTAGTTCTAGTGTCAAGGAAGCTCCAACGCACAGGAACGGCTACCGGAAGCCTTAGAGGTAACGAGGAAGTCGACCGCTCGAAGAGACGTCTGCGAAGATGAGAACGAACGGAAACCGAAGCAAGACTGTTTTGATACTCTCGATAAAGTTTAAAGATAAAGGCGCAGGTGTCCGATTAATCTGTACCGGCGATATCCCGGGAGTGTCGGTCGCTGTAAATCGTCGACGGCATCCGGCCCCCTTCTAAACGGGACAGGCTCTCGCCTGATCCCCGGCTCGGCCTGTCAAAGGGAAAGGGTTTACGTGTCCCGGCGTTCTTACGTGGCACGGGGAAAAACTAGAGTTCACATGCGTGGCCGGGATCGATCGGGGATACCGAACGTCTCCAGCACTTACACGCTCGGGCACGTCGCGGGATTGTTAAGAGAGATAGACCGGAATGCAGATTCCTGCGTGCTGGCCGGCCAGACGGTAAGTCGGATGACGAATCGAGGCGATAAACCACCCACGAATGGAATTGCGGGTAATGGAGAGCGTAAGTACGCCGAATATGAGACACTGCTTGTAGTTGATTCCGCTACGGGAATAGACACGAGCGGAATTAACCCTCCGTGACCCAGTTCTGCGTCCTCTGCGGCCAAAAAATTCGGTATCGCCGGATGAGAGAAGTTCCGACTCGTTGGGGACTGGTTTCTTCGTGTGAACGATGCAGGATTTGGTCGTGTTGCGGTTTTCAGGTGGATCGCGAGATTAGGTTGTTTCGTTTGTGTTTTGAATAATGGTTCAACCCCACTCGGAAGTTTTTCATTGGGAATATTTAATATTTTCCGACGAGGTATAGGTGATGTTTGGAACTAATTTAACGAGGATTCACGGATAAATTTAGCGATGAAGCTATTTTATTTAACCAGTCAACTGTGCAATTTAGTTCCACAAAATTTAGAATTTTAGTTTTTAGTATGAAAGAAAAAAATGGCATTCAACGTGTTAACCCCTTAACTTGCTCGAGTTAATTCGAGCGCGCTAAGCAGGCCAAACTGAAAATAACAATGTGAAAGCAAAGAAAAAATATTCATCATTTACATTATTTATTCGAGAATAAAATATAGCCTTTTTCCACGGAACAAAAGCGCAGTATATCAAAATTGATTTTTTCCAAAAAAACTGTGCGCTAAGGGGTTAATCGAATGACAGAGGGCGCACTTTGCGGCGTTAGACACCTGAGTTTCTCATATTCGGTGCGCTTCCCCCATATCCCAATAAAAACGTCAATAAAACAGGGGAAAACAGTGTCGTCATGAATTTCAGCCGTCGTCCGCAGAGAGCCAGCGATTCTTAAACGATAAATTGGACAGGCATGTTGACAAGCCGCTAAGCTGGAAGCGTGGGATGCGTTACAACACCGGCGGATCCTGGGAATTTCCGGCCTGTCGGGATGTCGATCACACGGAACTGTCGATGGCCCTTTTACACTGTATAAACATGTTGCGACGAGCCTCGACATTTTTTTTTCCTATCTCTCCGCGCGCTGCCCAGCTCCGACGGACCCGACGCAGGGTCAACGGATGGCTCCACTTGGCCCATCAATTACGCTCGCCGCGGATTTATTAAACGCGGCGGCCGTGTAAATACGATATTTCGATTCGTTCCATTGTTTACATTTGATCGGATACGTGTTGATATATTAAACGCTGCTTTATACAACAAACAGACGCTCCAAGTTTATTCACATCCTACGCCCGGCTTCCCAATTTCACCCTTTGCCCTCGGCAGACTCTTTCCGACTGATTCGGTACAGCAAAGTTGTAAAGCTTGATATTTAACCCTTTGCACTCGGAAGTATTTCGTTAGGAATACTTAATATTTTCTAACTAGAAGAAGATATTTGAAATTAATTCAACGAGAAATCACAAGTAAATTGTGAAACAAAGCAATTTTACCCCAATATTTCACACAATGCGTTATGTACAGTTTAATATTAAATATTAAGTTTTATAATTTCGCATCGAATCAAGTGGTGAGAGTCACCTCTCGAGTGCAAAGGGTTAACATTTCACATTCAATATTAAACTTGTAAATGCATCATTGCGCGAGATATTGGAATAGAATCATTTGTAAACGTAGATATAGAGTGAGTAGAATGATCTTCTTGTTCCAATGAATCGCGAAGAATGAAACAGTTCCATCGAGTGCTCTAGAGGAAAAAACTACAGTTCGATGGGTTAATTACTCGGTAACCCTAGTGTCGATTTCGAAGAGTTCGTTCGACTTCAAGATTGTTTCGATACCAGGAGAAAATAGTTTCTATTTCGGGTTAAATGATTCTCGACCGCATTATGCAGAGAATGGGATTTGTTTTAATTAGGGCGTAACGATGCGGCGCAACGGTGGAACGCTACTTAAAATTCCATACAGCGGTCGGCTTTTATTATGGAAACGCGAGACCGGAAGTCGCTCGAACGCAGCTTTTTTCCTTTATTCCACGCCCGGCCAATTGAACAGATTTTCCCTTCGCGACTGACGTTTCCCTTTGAAGATTCAAATGAAACTTTAATGAAATTGCGTCGCGATGCTCCAATAACGTTCCAGCTCCTCGCGGGGAACGGATGCAGCTTCAAGACTTTCTTATTTCGATTCGGTTGAAATTGTACCGGAGATGCACCGGATATGCAATCGCCGCGATAAACTCGGGAAATAGTTCGGAACCGCTGGAACTCGATTTCTCTTGCTAAGAGGCTGCTGTCATCTGGATTTTTATCGCTGTTGACCACTGCCTTTGTCATCGTGAGTACTCTGGCAGCGTGATTGGTCGTTAACACTCGACATTCTATTTTATTGCGACCTCTACCTGCTTTAACAATTTTTTCTGTATTTGTAGTATTAAATTGTACCATTTAAAGGTAACATTTCAACTCCCGAATATTCTTGAATAAATAAATACTGCGTCATATTAACCCTCTGTAACTTTAAAGTCACATATCAGTATATTGGCATCTTGATTTATTTCATTTTGCACTCGAAGCGGTGAATAAAATTAAATAATCAGTTAACTTTTACACGCTCAGGCATGAAAGTTTAACGTCATTGTAACTTGAAAGTTAGAAAATATATTCGTTTGATGAAATTATTGAAACTACTGAATACATTGTTAATTCGTATTCATATGTGGATATCTATCAATTTTGTACATAGACTTTGTTACAATAATGAACAAAAATTCGGCCCATAAAGGGTTAAGCTGCAATCGAATGAACTAACGTCGACGTGAACCTCAAACCGAGAAACTAAGAGCACTTCGTAAGAACGCCACTCGGCTAACATCTGGATTAAGGCAGGAACTTTTCGCTAGAAGAAACTGATGATGGCAACGCTTTGTTACCTGTCATCCACGTGCCATTTGCAATAACTCTCAGCGAATTCTTACGACTTCCAAGGAAAGTTGCGACGATTCTGTTTCGTTGATGGATCGTTTGACTCGAGCGAACCACCCATCAATCGAACAGAAAGATCGTTTCACTCTTAGAATTCGGATTCTTGTAGTTATTGACCCTTCGTTAACCTTCCTAATTTATTGACTGTTGTATTTGTTACCAGCAACTCGAAGAAAATTCAATGGAAAAAGTATGTTCACGTGTAGATGAACGATACGCGCATAAAAACAAGTTATAGATGTAGTTTGCTGGTTTTTTATCGATTAGAGGTATAAACGTTGGAATATATTTAATAATAAGATTTCCCAGTGTGTGCTAATTAATTTTAAGTGGCACTCGGAAGCCCTCGAGTGCAAAGGGTGAATTAAACAATGGCCAATTAGTTTCTTATCGATTATTCGCGTTCGCTCGAGTTGCGTTAATAAATCACGTCTAATTATAATAATACGAGTAAATTGAGTTCGTTTTCTATAGAGTTTGTAGATTTTAAGTATATGCAACGGGAAGTTCGATAGTTGAGTTCGATGAGAATTGAATATTTCAATGAAAAGTTCCTCGGAGATTGGATTATAGTTTGAATGTGAAAGTAGCTTCTTCGACTTTAATGGAATTTATGAAATACCGATGATTCTATAAACTGACGCGAGTTTGCGAAACGAACCGATGGAATACATAATACTTTGAGCGTTGATTCGTGGCGTAACGGTTTAATCCGAAATTCAAGGACCCAGTAATTAATGAATGAAAATATCTGTTATGGAAAACGTTGAATTAAACGTGTTCGATTTTCTGCGTTACAGGCATGTAACAGTTTTGATGTTTACATAAATATTATTTTGTAAACGACGGTTTCTTTCAACTCGTTTATTCTTGGGAAAAAAATCAAAATGGCGTAGGTACAGAGGAATTGAATAAGTCGAGCGAAAATTAATGATCGAGACGTGTTAGTTGCTTTTACGTAAGATTCATGAATCGTTAGAATAAACATCATCGATCATGAATCGTTAAAAAAAAGTTATTCATAAATCGTTGAGTTAATAAATTTCGAATGCAAATTGTGACGTCATGTTCGATTTATTATCACATTACCTTCAAACGACCTTGAGCACAGGTTATGAACAAATGGTCGAACAGATAATAATATTGTATTGTTTAAGAAAGTTTAAAAACATTCATTTTATTCAATCGAAACTTCTTTCAAACAATACTGTACCAAAAATGCCATTTGTTGAAATTGTTGTACCGTTTAAGGTTAGCTGATAAACTTTTTTCTTTGTTTAGCATATTACTTGTAGTTGTTTGTATTTAGAATGTAGAAAAGAATATTTCAAATCGTAGAAAATGAATAGTTTTAAACTTTTACTAACTTGAACATTGTCTGCCTTGGAATTGGTGTTTACATTTTGGCGGTTGGCTACACTGAGTCGATGCTATAACGGACGCAACGTTCGAATTATTGTGACTGCATGGTTTTTTGACTTGAATATTTTCATTGCACAATTTTATGGAGATAGGTACATTTAAACATAATCTTTTTATTTTATAGTGTATATGACACGTCAGAAAAAATATTTCAATACTTCGTTTTCTAATCTTCGTTAACTGTATGTTATAATTTCAAGGAATATCGCTTTGTTATTGTTTACCGTTTTGCCCTTCGTGTATCCAAAAGCTTTACTTTCTTAAGAGAAAGTATAGTATACTTCTTAGCTATTTTATGTATATGTGTTCCGTTTCTGTTTTAGGAGCTAATGAACTACTTCGTTTTATTTTCTGCATTATGACTTCATGAAATAATAAAATAAGAACTTGAGTCCATGATTGCTAGTAAACTAAGATGTCTAATTACAGTAAGTAAATTTTAAACATCTTTTATTAGCTAAGTTTCTATTTAGTCTAACATTTTCTTATCTTTATTCTAATTTCTACAGGGAATGATCTATTCTGTAAAGTAAGAAATAAATTAAGAGAGAAAGAAAAACATATTAAGGATGTAGATAAAAATATGTATTCTGACGAAGAGATAGAGAGACCTGTTAGTGAATCGCAAGACTTTTGTTTGAAACTAACTCCAAATTCTGCTATATCTGATTCTCAAGGAATAATGTCAAGTGATGACAAAGATGTGATAGTGATAAGTGACTCTAGTTCTGATTGTTCTAGCCCTAAAACTGTTTCTTCTAAATTTAAATCCAATAAATATTTTAAATCCAAACGTGAAGTACATATTATAGATTCTTCAAGTACTGAGTCCACGGATACTCAGGGAAAACATGTTCCTAACTTACAGAAGAAGAATAACAGACCCAAAGTTATCAATGATTATAAAACAGATGATCATTTTATTAAAAGAAACAATTCTTTGTTTATATCTGACGATACTTCATCCAGTGCCACAGAATCAAATGAAAGGAATATTGAAAGTTCTGTTACAACTAAAACAACGTACTTTAGCTTTACCCCAGAGAATATGAAAGTTACATCGAAATGCAATACTCAGTTGTGTAATAATGTAAATGCAAAAAGTGTATTAACTACATATGCTAATAACAGTACAAATTCCAAAAGCACTGATGAACCTCCTAAAAGGATATCTAATAAGACTCAGAGTATTAAAAAGTTAACAAAAAAAGATGCCAAAAATATTATGAAAAATATAAAGGCAACAAGACAGGTTTATGAATCACCAAGAAGAGACAATAATGTAATAATTAATGAGAGCATAGACAATGGTATGCATCCAGCTATTTCATGTATGATAAATTTGAAAGAAAGTACTAAAATTATTGACGAAACACCAGTAAGTTCTGAGAGTGATATTGTTCAAGATTCCCAAAAGAATGTTAAAAATGTATATAAAAATCATATTAGTAAACTTGTACATACTCCACGTGAGGATAATATTACAAATAAAGTATCCACTGAATTATCAGATAGGAAAAAGAAACAAATTTCAGAATGGCTTATGACCAATACTCCTGATTCAAAAAGTGATAACTCTTTTGGTATGGTGCCTGCCAGTAACAAAGATGAGATAAGTTCTGGAAATAGTAGTTTAGAAAGATTAGAAATGAACTATGAAACCCCAAATAATAGAGAGAAAATACGTCAAGTACTTATAAATGAAAGAAAAACAACAAATGAAGAGTCCAATAAAATAATTGTGTCTTCTGCAACAAGACAAGCTACACTTCTAGAGTACACAAAACGATCCAAAAATAATGTTCTTGAACTTCGTACGTCAACAAACAATTGTGCTAACAATATGATTTCCTCTCCTGCAACAAATCAACCACAAAATGTAAATATCATGGATTGTGCTGATATATTAGATAAATTGTATGGTAAATTATGGAGAAATAAGGCAGATGAGTTGCTTCCGAAGTCTGAACCAAGGAAGCAAGTAGTTTCCACAAAAGACAGAGCTGTTCAGACAGAAAGGTAAATTAAAAAGGCAATCTTTTATTTCATAAGTAATTATAGATAACTCCAAGCTAAACTTTTATTACAGGAAAACAGGAAAGAAAAAAATTGTATATACATCAGATTCAGAAGATGAAGATAGTACTGCACGTAAGTAATTACATTATAAACTGCATTAATCTTGTGTCTCATTTTGTATTAAAATGTTCATTTGAACTATATAGCGTTAAAAAACTTAAAACCACAAAGGTCGACAACAAAAAGAAATATTCAAACGAATATTAAGGTAAAAGACAGTTTCATTAACGATGAAACGTCATCGGAAAGTGGATGTGAAAGTTCCTACTACACTGCAGTGACAAATCCGAGATCATCGACAAACAATCCAAAGCCTAAACCAACACTTCCACCACATATACAGAAGTAAGAAACGTACATATCTAATATTTACAATAAATGTATGAAGAGTTTCTTAATAATTTGGATGATTTCTTTTACAGAGTTATATCGCTATGTGACACAGATACTGAAGACGAAGATGAAGATAAAAATCGTAATAAAATACAGGATTTCAGAAGAAGGAAATTGTCTTTTAGCGAGGATGAGAGTAAAAGTTCAAGTACTAGTGAATTCGATCCTGGCGATGATGTACCATTAAAACCTACAAGCAAAAAAGGTAATACATATTTGTAAATCGTTTAGGTAACGTGTTATAAAGTTGTAATACATTTCCGTAGATCTCACTAAATCTTCACGGCAAATAGTTAAAAAGGACCCTATATTTAAACCAACTTCTGACACTCTAAAAAATGGGAAACAGGCAAGCTTCTTGGCATCTTTATCCGAAAATATTCCTTTTGCCAATGCACATCCAGATGCTAAGAAATACAGAACAAATTACAAAGCTAATAAGGAGAGTCTATGCAGTTATTTATACAAATTGTATAATGAAAAAGTATTTAATAAGCAATTGCCAGAGAATATGAGCATTGAGTGGAATATTCGTATGAGAGGTACTGCTGGATTTTGTTATAATAAGAAGTCTATAAAACCACTTGGAGGTGTTGCAAGATCATCAAGAATAGTTCTATCGACAAAGGTGTGTAATTGTATTATTAATAAAAATAATATATCCAATATAAATTGGAACAACTGTTTTTGTATAGGTGTTGGATACACCAGACAGACTTCGAGACACTTTAATACATGAAATGTGTCATGCAGCAGCCTGGTTGATAAATGAAGTTTCTGATGGTCATGGTCCGTTTTGGACGGGATGGTATATATTAATAATATTATTTACTGTCTTTATACTTATTCAAAATGACTGACGCATCCCACTTTAGGGCCAACAAAGCCATGAAGACATTTCCAGACTTACCACCAATTCGCAGATGTCATGACTATAAAATTAAAACTAAGTTCACGTATAGATGTGTCGGCTGCGGATACAGGTACTATATTTTATATGAAACTTATAAATTCGAGTATAGCCAAATTAATAAGTGCACGATCTTTGTAGTATTGGCAGGCATTCAAAGTCTTTGGATGTTGAAAGGAAACGGTGCGGTCATTGTTACGGAAAGTTTGAATTACTAGTGAACAAAACAACAAAATCTGGTACAGTTCAACTACAGACACCCAAGAGAGAACTCGGCGGATTTGCGCTCTATGTAAAAGAAAACTATAATTCTGTAAAAAATGAGTGTAATGTAAAGCATGCACAAGTGATGAAGATTTTAGGTCAGCAATTTTCAGCAATTAAAATTGCAAAGAATCAGGGAAATTCTGAGAATAATCTAGATACTCCTGGTTAAATGAATTTTAAATATAATGTAGATCATTGTTCAAAATGCTCCAATTTTTAACTGTTTGTACATTTTTAACGCGGACGGGTACTTTCTGAGCACCCTAATTTTATACATACATGATAATTGACGAAACTGATTTTACCATTGCAGGCATTGGAATATAAGTTTTGGATTGAATTTTCTATTATACTAAGAACGAAGTTATATTAATTATACAGATAAATAGATTTTTACAGATAGATTGTATAGACGCGGCAGTGGTTTGTAAAGAGTGTATTATAATATTACAATAAATGACATATAACAGGTAATTCACGCTTAATCGTAATCCATGAGGAATAAAATACCTAGCTAAGCTCATTAAAAAGTAAATATACATTAATGCGATTGATTAATAGAGCATACATACTGATATGACGCCATTAAACAATTCACGTAGGTTGACCCATTATTAACACGGTTAAGTATTTTTAAAACCGTCCAATAATCTAAGGGTGTTTAACTGGGTGCTCGCGGGCACTCTAGTGACACTCCCCTCGCAAAAAGCTACTGCAAAAGAGTACTGCACATGCCTTCTCTTGTGACCTACCACCCCAGGCTGAAAGGAGTGAATGAACTGTCGCGAAATGAACATTATCATTATCTAGCAACGCTTGTGGCGTCATTTGCGGTAAAACACTGAAGCTACTAACCAATTAGCATCAATTGGTATGTCATTCGTGCCACCAATTATCACCATCACGATCTTCTCAATCGAAATTCAAATATTTCATTTATATTAGTCAAAGTATTTATAGAATAAACAATTCATACGTGCATTACTGCTTAATAAATTCGAAGAAGCAAAGAACTTTTTCAGAAAGATTTAGGCAACGCTCACTATTTTAACCTTTTTGTATGTTTCATAAGCTATATAATATAATATTTATTAAACATTCTACCACGAATGATTAACAGATCTATTGTAAATAATCATTGTTAACGAGCGTTCAATTTACAAAATTAGCAATCTGTAGAATAAAAATGTTCTTCAAACATCGATAATAGAGGATTCTTCTAACTTGTGGGTAAGGAAGGGTTTACCCTTACCCATGACTAATCCGCCACACTACTCTCCCTTCTAAAAAGATGCAACTTCTGTACCTGGAGACAAAGTAACTTCCTTCTTCCCTTCGTAGACCCTTAATGATTTTCCTTGTTTGAAAATGAACTTCCTTGTCCTGTTAGGAGAGAGGAAGGGTGCTAACTCTAGTGACATCCCCTAAAAAGTTACCCTCCTGCTACTTTTACCTGTGATTAAACACCCATAGAACTGCTCACATACACAGTCTCGACTCCTTGAGTGAGGTAGTGGAAGAACGTTGTTACCAAGTTACTAGCGTGAGGGGAGTAAAGTTAGACACCTCTGCCACTATCTATTCTCGGTTAACACGTTCGCGGACAGTAGAAATCTCAATACATCGGAAAAATAGGAAAAATATAAATGCCGTACTCCGAAAGTTAAAGTGAATAATAATTAGAAAAATTTAATGGTACATAGAATGAAATTCACGACAATGTGGCTTCTAAATTTGAATGTTCTGGCATTCACGTGATTTTGTATGGCAATGAAGATGAATGCTATAGCATTCACGTCGACGAACGTGTTAAGGCTGTTCTCAACGGAAATATCACCAGGCGTTGCGAACGTAACCGAGGATTATTTGAACAGTGGAAACGCATGCGTTGAGTATATTCCGTGGCGGCGGCATCAACAGCGCGCTCTAAAAACAGTCGAGCCGAAGATGGCGACGTGCGAGTGGCGGTGTCGGTTCGGTATTTAAGAGAAAGGACCATGTTGTTGCTGCAGTGTTCGCAGTCTTTCCGTGATTCGCGTTGAGTTCGTGCAAATGTAGGAATGTCAGAGGCTAAACGGGTACCTTTGCAGACCTTGGAGTTTCCGGAGTCCTTGGGCTACGCCGCGAAGAACGAGAAAAAGGGGGAAAAGGGCAAACAGCTCGCGCCCTCCTTCCGCTTCGTACTCACCCTGCCAGAGTCGAACGAGAAGGCATGTCCTGAGTTCAACTATGCACAGCTCCTCAAAGCAGAAGAGGTCAGTTTCTACCGTTTACTCGCCGATCGGATATATCCGAGGGGAAAAACAAAAGCCCACGACGCTTTATCCCATACGGTTGCCTCGGCCAAAACATCCCGACGGGCAAGGCAAACACCGGCTACGATATCGCTTCGCGTACCGTACTTTGACAAGAAACTGCAAAAATTCCAATGGGATCGACCATTTTCGTGTTGCACGAAACAAGGGGGACTCGTGCGCGCCGCTTAGGCGAATTGTCATGTCGTGATTATCGCGTGAGATCCAGGCATCTCGCGCGGCTACGTGCACGATTTTCTTCTGCGATCTCGACGCTCGTATAATACGGGCTCGCTTGTTTTTTCGGCCGTACAGAGCACCGTTGTTGTGTGTTTAGAGGCTAGGCAGAAAAAGGTGTGATCAATTCGAAGCCATCGAATAGAAAGGTCGTAACGTGTTGCCGGTGTGTGTCGGTGTCAACGTATGCTCGCATAAGGCAACGTCTGTTGAAAGCTTTCTTCGGGACCTCGCCACCGACGAACGTACGACAATCGTTTTCGCGATAGTCGTTCCCCAGAATGCACGAAATAGACGCGGAATTACTGTTACACGACCATACGGTCCGGCATTGCGACTTCTCCAAGACGAGACGTGACTGTTGCACGTCCGCCGTACCTACACTCGTGTCTCGTTTCACAATCGTTTCTAAAGCTGCTCCGCTTTCGTTCGTACGTTTCTTTTATTCTTTCTTTCTTTCTTTCTTCTCCTTCTTTTTGTATTACGCGAAACGTTTTATCACGGTGATTTTACATGTACGCGTAGGAAATCCCGATCTTAATTTTACGATCGACGTGTTCGGCCGGAATTCGCGCCCACCGACGCTTCTC